GAGAATGAGAAAATAAATTGCAGCAAGGTATACATTTAACATATCACACATATCACAAACTCTGGGAGAGCTACATAATAATTTTAATTATCTGCTCAACATGTCCCTATAATACTTTTTTTCTTGCATTTTTGGCTCCATGCTCTTTGGTAACCTTTTCATGTGACAACATAAATATACTTTCTATGGGAAGAATAGAAAGATAATGGACTCTTTCCTCTAGTATGAATTTTTTTCCCCAATATTTTATTGTGGAAAATTTCAAACATACAAAAAATAAATGAGAGAATTATGCTGTGAACCCTCTGAATTGCACAATTGTTATCCGTTTGCTACATTTGCTTTGGTGCATATCCATGCCTCTATCCTTCTTGACATCTTTTTTTTAATGCATTTCACACTAAATTTCAGACATTAGTGAATTTCACCCCTAGCCATTTCAGCATGCGTATCACTAACTCAAATTCAAATGAAATTTATTTTTTATTCTTGACAAATAATAACCAGGCCTCACTCCAATGCCACCTGACAGGAGGAGAAGAGCCTGGCAGAGGGGGTGAGAAAAATTACCTAGGAGCTCAGGCTGAGGCCCCGAGGCTGGGCACTGTGGCCCTGGAGTGGGGCGCTTGAACTCCTAGGGTCAGATCCCTCGGCCTGGGACCCTGCCCCTCCCCTTGCCCGTAGGGGGCCAACTCCTCTTTATCTGCCAGAACTGTTCAGATGCCTCCTCTTCCAGGAAGCCTTCACTAAGCTCTGCCCACCCCAAGCTTGGTTGGGAGGTTCTCCTGAAGTCCCCAAATCTCCATGTGACAGCACAGGCTGTACCTCATCACATACCCCTCCCACCCCCCGCTGTCTCCTCTGCTGGACTGTGAACCCATGAGGGCAGGCTCGGCCCGCCTTGCCTTTTGCCTTCTCCCCAGGCCGGTGCCTGGCACAGAGTAGGTGCTCAGTAAATACCTGTGGTAGGAGAGAGAGAAAGAAGGGTGCACATTCTAGGGAGGGAAGTTTCAGGGTGACAGAGGCAGGTGGGTTGCGGGCGGGGTGGATTTCCATGTTTGTGCCTCATCCTGGGAGTGCAGGGATTGTGTTGGTTGTAGGGGACAAAGCCCAGTCCTGAGAGGGGCCAGCAGCCATCCCTGCAAGAGCCCTCTGCTGACCTAGCCCTCCGTTATCTCTTCCAGTGCCCCAGGGTCAACGGTGTGAAGGCACACACTAACAAGCACAACCGGAGACAGGTGGTCCTGGACCTGCAGATATGGTGAGCCCTCCTGCCTGGGGGGTCCAGGGGAACACTCTGGCGAACGGGCACTTTAAGGATGGAGTGGCATATGTACACTCTAATGTGGGGAATGAAAGCCCCTCACAGAACATATACCTCCCATCTACCCTGGGCTGGAGCACAAGTTTCCTGCTTGGGATGGGGAAAAGTGTCAGGAGAATGGGTGGTCCCAGGGGAGCCACCACCATCTGACCCCTCAGCCCAGTCCTGGCTTCTCCCATCAGACCCGGCACCAGGCATGCTCTGGGTACCAAGGCCCAGGCAGCAGAGCTTTCTTGGGGGTCAGGGCCAGGTCACCTAGAGGGTCAGATCCGCTGCCTCAGAGGAGGATGTAGCAAGAGGGAGTAAGTGGGACACGAAGACGTGGGGATTTGTGGTGAGGCCCAGGGAGCTCCAAGCACAGGATGTGCGAGACCGGCTAGAGAACTTGTCTCTGTGGCACCTCAGGAAAAACTAAAGGATCCAAAGACACATGAGTGACTAGCTCAGTGGGCTGGGCAAAGGCACCTTTTTTTGGATGAGGCTTGTAATAGGCTTGAGTTAATGAGAAGGGAGATTCATTCCAGGAAGTCTTCCCAGAGGTGGTGAGATTTGAATTGTGTTTTCAAGGAAGAAGGATGAACTCCTGCAGTTCCAGAATGTTGCCCTTTCTTTCCAGTGTCTCATATTTCCTGTCCTTAGCCCAGAGGCTGGCACTGAGAGCACATTGGGAAGACAGGAGTCGGCTCTGGGAACGCCCATCCTCGTTTAGGGGCTGGTCTCAAGTGTGTTGGGACGGTGGTGGCGATTGGGCATCCTGACCTAAGGCTCTGCCACAAGATCCTTGTATGAATACTTGGGGCCTGTCAGGGTCACCTGGCCCACCCATTCAGCTTCCCAGGCAGCTCAGGCAGCTCCTGGGGTCCCCGGGTTCCCCCTGCTGCCCTTCCGGTGGCACTGAGCCTGAAGTGACATCAGCTCCCCTGCCCGTGTCCTGCCCGCTCCCTTCCCTCAGTCTCCTGTAGCCCTTTGACAGTCTCCTCATCTTTAGCTTCAAGGGCAGCCATTCTGGGGTCCCTGTGCCCATCACTTGACAGGAGCTGCCAGCAGGACTCAGGCTCCTGGGAAAGTTACCTTTGCCCCCCCACCCCCACCCCTCGCAGCAACAATCTGGGTGAAAGGCTGGATATAAGCAGTGAGGCTGCTGCGTGTCCTCGAGGAAGAGGCCTGGGCAGAGATGGGGCAGGGGCTCAGCAGTGGCAGAGGGGTGGGAGCAGTGTGTTCCCCAAGAGGCCCTCCTTTGCATCTGTGGGGTTTTGTGGGGCAAGGTGGTCCCCAGAGTCCCCGTCGTGGGCAGAGGCGGGGATGTGCATGGGTCACCTGGGTGCAGGGACCTGGGTGGCTGTCTCCCAGGGTCTGGGGCTGCGTCAATGCCTGTGCAGAGCCGAGAAAGGCTGAGGCTGTTAGGGTGACTGTATCTGGGTGTGGCAGGGCTCAGGCTGGGCGGCTGCCACTTGGGCTGGGTGGCACCGGGCAAGTTTCCTGACCTGAGTGGTGGACCTGCCCGTCTTCCCCTGCTTCCTTTCCCTCCCTCCCCCACCTTTAGCTACATTGGGGACTGCGAGATCAGCGTGGAGCTGCAGAAGATACAGGCTGGTGTGAACGGGATCCAGGTGGGTGGAACCTGGCAGGACTTCCCTCCATACCTGCCCTGGAGTGGGGGTCAGGGCAGGGGGAAACAGACTGCAAAAGGGGGTGATGACACCAGACACAGAGGCTCTTAATGATCGAGGGACTCCAGGCCCCGAGGTCACGCTGCCAGGAAGTGGTGGCTGGGCCTCGCCAACCTGCTGCTCAGCCTCACAGCTCCCTACTTGTGTCTCTTTGTAAAGTTGCCCCAGAAAGACTTCGGCTGCCCAGGGAGGGGAGAGGTTTTGTTTATGGGGTGATGCAGAGCCCATGCTCAGAAACTGAGGTGGAAATGTCTTGTGGCAGGAGTAGAGGAGCTGAGTTGGAGCTGGAAAGCACTCCTGGGTCCCTGCTGGTTGGGCCGGCCTGAAATGTGGCCAAGGCTGCAGGCCCGTCAGTCCTGCACACCAGCTGAAGGCAGTGGGGGTCGGCTCATGTCCCCTGGGGAGCAGGCAAAGGGGTGGCAGCTGTGTGCAGGTTTCTGTCCCCCCAGTCTGGTCTCTGCTGTGACAGCAGGTAGCCCTGACATTTGGGGGTGGCATGGGCATGAATGAGACAGCAGTAGCCTCAGCTGAGAAAGGGAGGCTGAGGCCCTCACGGGGCCCTCTGTGCCCGTCCAGTTGCAGGGCACGCTGCGGGTCATCCTAGACCCCCTCCTGATGGACAAGCCCTTCGTGGGAGCCGTGACCCTGTTCTTCCTTCAAAAGCCGGTGAGCCCCAGAGATGAGAGCAGGCCCGCTCCTCCCTGTGAGTGAGCGTGTCTGCTGGGCCCCAGGCACTAGGCCGGAGCCCAGGAATGGAGACTGCCTGAGCCCACCCAGGCCTGAGCACCCCACACACCTGTCCCATTACTCTCAGGCAGCCTGAGGGACCCGACTCTGCTCTCCCCAAGACCAGAAACAGCACAGAGGCGTGGTTTGCCAAGGTCACACAGGTGGTCTGAGGTAGCGAGGAGTCTATACCTTAGACCTCTCTGTAGCCACGTGCACTGGCTGCTCCTGTGGTTGTCCTGGCAGGAAAGCAGCAGGCCTGACAGCCCGGCCCATCCTGAGCCAAGGCCTGAGCAGGGCTGGGAGGTGCTCTCACCTGCCTGGCACCCCTGCAGCAGGCGTCCCCCAGCAGGCTGGGTTCTCCATGTGCGTGGGAGTGAGGCACTTGGCAGGAGATTCTCAGTCCTGGGCTCTGGCTCCTTCCAGCCTAACAGCCTCCCTCTGCCCTGCAGCACCTGCAGATCAACTGGACAGGCCTGACCAACTTGCTGGATGCGCCAGGAATCAAGTAAGTGCCTGTGAGAGCTGCCAGGCAGACTCCAAGTGTGGGGCCTGCTGCGGCTGTGCAGTTAGTTACGGGGCTGTGCAGTGGCTGTGCCCTCCCTCCTGGCTCCCTGCGTGAAGAGTAGGGGTAGGTACCTACCCTCTCCCGAGGAAAAAGTGTTGGTGTGTCTGGAGTGGGAGTTGCGGGGCTAAGTGTTGCTCGGCCTCTGTGGGCAGGCACTGCACTCAGAACATGCACACACATGCATGCACACACATGCATGCACGTGCACACACATGTTGTGGGTGAGCCTGGGGAGAGTGGCTCTGACCAGATGGGATGTCCTAGAGGAGGTTGTGTGGGCTAATGAGAGAGCACAGGCTCCAGAGCCAGACCCAGCCAGACCAGGCACCTGGTTCTGTTGCTTAGCAACTGTGTGACTTTGGACACGTTACTGCACCTCTCTGGGCTCTTCCTCAGGAAAAGAGGAGCTTGGTTCCTCTATCTTGAGGTCCCTGGCAGAACACTCAGGTGGGTGTGGTGGTAACCATACTGCTGCTCAGCCTCACAGCTCCCTACTTGTGTTTGTTTGTAAAGTTGCCCCAGAAAGACTTTGGCTGCCCAGGGAGGGGAGAGGTTTTGTTTATGGGGTGATGCAGAGCCCATGCTCAGAAACTGAGGTAGAAATGTCTTGTGGCAGGAGTAGAGGAGCTACTCGACCCCCTCCCTACTCGACCCCCTCCCTAACCCAAGTATGTGGTGAGCAGCCCATGTGGCCTCCCCCAAGTATGGTCCCAAACACAGCAGTTTAGGTGGGAGGGCTCTCACAGCAGGGGCCAGTGAGGAGCTGTTATGGGAAATCCCACCTTCCTGGGGCTGGGGGTGGGGTGGGATGAGGGGGTAGGAGGGGTTAGAGGGTGTGTTGCACTCAGAGCCTCAGGTCCCCAGCAGAGAAGGGCTCCAGGCCCATGTGGACACACCTCCCCAGCAGGGAGGGACAGTTGGATTAGCCAGGGCATATACCAGCTGGTTCACCAGGCTCAGGCCGCTGCCCCTGTCTGTGGGGAGGACCACTCATCTCTCAGTGGGGACATTCCCACTGATCTCAGCCCCCTGGGTGCAGAGAATAATCTCATGCATTCTTTCATACAAAAAATATTTACTGAGCACCTACTGTGGCCAGTCCTGTCCTAGGGACTGTCCCGCTCTGTCTACTGGGGAGGAGCCAGGCAATCAAGGAGCAGAAAGGCTATGGTAGTGAATTCTCTCCTAGCATTCACTGTGCACGAGGCGCCGTTCTCAACACTTTCTGCATATTAACTCAGCTTTGTAACAACCCTAGTAGGCAGGCATAACCTCATTTTAGAGAGGAGGAAACCGAGGTCCAGAGAGGTTAGCAACTTACCCACAGTTTGTGGGTTGTGGAGCCGAGATTCTAACGTAGGCTCCAGGTCATCACTCTCAGCTACCATGTTGTGATGCCTCAAAGGACAAAGCAGAATGGGGTGAGGGTCAGGGGCTGTCAAAATGTATATCCGCATCCTGCCCTATCCAGGCAGGCTGGGGTCAGGGCTGCCCTCTCCTAGGCAGGGCCTACCCTGGAGCTCTGCTTCTGGTGCCAGCTCCTGGTAAGAGTGGAGGGGTGGAGGGGCAGGCGGCCTGGGGGAGGCAGTGCCACCCCTCCACAGCTGGTGATGCCCGCTTTCCCCAGCGAGGTGTCAGACAGCCTGCTGGAGGACCTCATCGCCGCCCACCTGGTGCTGCCCAACCGCGTGACTTTGCCCGTGAAGAAGGGGCTGGATGTGACCAACCTGCGCTTCCCTCTGCCCTGCGTGAGTACCTGCACTGGTCACAGAGCACGGGGCCCAGTGTTAAGGGACAGACAGGTTGGAGGGAGAATGCATTCTCACATGATAATCCTTATTTCCACCCTGTGGGGGCATGGCACCCCCATTTGATAGGGTGAAGATTGAGTCCCGGGAAGGTGGAATGGCTGGTCCAAAATCGCCCATCTAGAGTGGGATAAAGTCCCGGTGGCATTTCTTTCCAGATCCGGGTCCCTGTGTGGCCTAGGATAGGGACTATGGGCAGTCACCCCCAATCCCAGGAAACTCCGGGAGCCTCCCATCCTCCCTTCAGGGACATGAGGCTCCCCAGCTCCATCATTTGGTGATGGGAAGAATCCTTGGGGTCTACTGGGAAGGAGAATGTTTGGTAGAGCCAGGATGTGGGGTTCCCTTGGGTGCTCAGCAGCACAGCCCCCTCCATCCTGGGCCCAGCTCGGGAGGCCTCTGAGGACAGCCACATGGCTTCCCTACAGAAGGTGCCTGGCTGTGGCCCTGAGCCCTTTGAGGCCAGGAGTCAGGACCTCAGGAGAGGGGAGAGAGCCCATTTCACCATCAGCACCAGGTATGAGGCACGGCCCACTCAGGCCACGTAAGGGTAAGGGGCCGGCAAGCAAGACAGCACATACAGGCTCTCAGCCTTCCCTTAACGGAGCATGGGCTTTATCCCACACTAGTGTTTGGCAGTCTCAGAATAACAGTACAACGCTGTCACCTACGTCTAACTACTGAAAACACTCTGTCCTTAGGGTCTGTCTGCTGTCAAATTGCTATGGTTTAAACTCACTCAGAATAGTTCCTGTGTGTGTGTGTGTGTGTGTGTGTGTGTGTGTGTGTGTGTGAGAGAGAGAGAGAGAGAGAGAGAGAGAGAGAGAGAGAGAGAGAGAGAGAACTAGCCATGAATATTTACATTGATTTGTTTCATTCCATTTTCTATTTTTAGGGTTTAATTTCAACCTTAACTTCCTCTTACAATTATGTAAAACATTTGCACTTTTCCAAAGTTCAATAGAGACACACGAATTATATTTTAAGGAGTCTGGCTTCTATCCCTGTTCCCTCCACCTACTCCCCACCCTCCCCCTGTTAAGTGGTGGTTTCTCCTTCCACTATTTTTCATTATTTGTTTTCTAATATGAGCAGATAATGTACACATGGCGCTGTGTGCATATCTAATTTTATTCACATTCCCCCGTTCTCTGGTGAGTGGTGGCACAGGTTTCCCCACCTTGCTTTTATCACTTCACATGTCCTGCGGCTCCTCCATGCAGTGTACAGGGCGCCCTTCCCCCTCCTTGCAGCGGCAGCGTGCGTGCCCACGGTGCGGATACGCTACGGTTTACTAAACCAGCTCCCTACTGATGGACGGTTCAGTTGTGTCTGGCCTTTTGCTCTGATGAATACGTTGACTTGAATAGCCTTCTTATATTTTTACCAATATGCCGCGAGGGCTAGACATGGGATTGCTGGGTCAAAGGGAAAATGCATGTGTATTTACTGATATTTAAAAATAAAATAGTTCTAGGCAGGAAGGCTACTAGCCCCTGAACTGTGTTTTTTCCCAATTCTTGTGCTCTGTTCTAACGTAAGACATAGCGCCGAGTGTGGGGAGTGGGGTGAGAGTCCAAGCTGGGGCCCCTATGGGCACAGGGACCCACTGCCAGCAGCAGGCATGCCCACACGGCTGTGGACCCCTGCGTATCGGGAAGAAACGAGTCTACATGCAGCTAGAGAGGGGGAGCTGGAATACAGAAGGACATCTCAGGTGGCATAGTTGTTGGCACAGGGGGAAATGGCTGCAGTTGAATAAGCCATTCACATGGCAGGTTGGAGGCAGGGACAGTTGGGAAGGCCGACTGTGGGTGGGTCTGGTGATGCAGTGGACAGAGCCCTGGGCCCTGCCATCACTTGCTGTGTGGCCTTGGCCAGGAGACTGTTATCTCTGGCTTCTGTCTCCCCATCTAAACCACGGAGAGGGTGGGATGGGGTGGGGCGATGTCTGGTGGCTTTGGCTCTGATATCGCAGGCCTTGAGTGTTGGCACAGCACAGGAAGCAGCTGTGAGCCCTGGGCCGGCACATTTTTCAGGGGGTGATCAGAGTCCACTTGCTGGAGGCAGAGAAGCTGGCCCAGATGGACCACTTCCTGGGGATCAGAGGGAAGTCGGATCCCTACGCCAAGGTGAGCATCGGCCTGCAGCATTTCAGGAGCCAGACAATCTACAAGAACCTGAACCCCACCTGGAACGAGGTGTTTGAGGTGAGGGTCTCCTTCGCTACTCTTGGAGTCCTCCAGGCTCCACCCTGGGTCATGCTGGGCACAGACTGGGGAGGGCCTTGCCGTCATGGGCCTCACACACCCAAGGGCAACACAGAGAAGTGGGTCTTGGGGACAGGCAGGTCGGTCTGTGTAACGCACACTTCCCATATCCACCAGGTTGCCAGGGGTGGGCTGCTGTGGCCCCACTGAAAGGACAGCTTATAGATGAGTTCCCACCTTCTTTCCCCACCGGAGTCAGCTTTGTGGGAAGTTTCCAAAGTAAAAGAGAGAACCGAGAGGCAGTTCTGCCCCAGTCCTCTCAGCACCCCCTGCCAGAGCCAGACACCAGGAGCCTGAAGTTCCTCCTTAAGTTCAACTGCAACCCCTACTCTGTGAAGGGCAGACCCCCAGCCTGTTACGTGCTCTGGAAGCTGCAAGCCCCATGCAGAACACATAGCAGCCACTGTCCTGAGCACCTGCCCTGCTGTGGGCTCCTCCCCACCGTGCAGGGGAGGGCACTGCCCCCTTCTTACAGGAAAGTTCTCCAGGCACTGAGAAGGGCAGGACTCCGCCCAGGTTTCGGAGCTGGCGGGGGCGGGCCTGAATCTGGCTCACCCTGGGTCATGCTTGAGGTCTGCTTCACCAGCCGCTGTGGCCTGCAGGTCGTCACCTCTCTTTCCTTCCAGTTCACAGTGTATGAAGTCCCTGGGCAGGACCTGGAGGTAGACCTCTATGACGAGGATCCTGACAAGGACGACTTCCTGGGCAGGTGAGGAGGGCTGAGCTGGGCTTGGGGACGCTGGGCCTTCCGTGGCTCAGTGAGTGCAACCCAGCCAGGACGGCAGGTCACTCTGACATCGTGACTGCCAGGTAACACACCCCATTGTTCTGCATTCCTGCCACAAACCTCCTTCCTAGTTGTCTCCTGAGTGTCCAGCCCTGAGCTGGACCCTGGGGGTACAGAGAGGACCCCAAGCTTTGTATACTGTTGGCTCTTTCTGCGCTGATAATGTATCGAGTCCCGATTTGGGGCAGTGGGCGGGGGGCAAGGCTGGCATGGATGGCCAGGTCCCCAGGGCTACTCACTCTGGGGCAGAACACAGAAACTCAGGGCTGTAGGGAGACTGAAATGGCCCGGCTATTTCAGTCCCCCCACAGCCCTGAGTTTCTGCCCCAGAGTTACAATTTTTGCAGATTAGAAGTGTGGCTTGTGGTTCATATTGTATGTAACTGATTTCAAGTGTCTTTTGAGCTCAAGCATACGCCTATACATCTCACAGTTACATGGAATTAATTTCAGTTCTCGGGCTCTTCCATTTGGGTTTGGGTCAGGGTAGGTGAGAGACATGCTATGAATGTGAATGTACCTCCTCTCACACACATGCCAACTATCCTTATCCCAGGGAGAGCATCAGAGGCAGTTTTGGAAATGGAGGGGCATTTGGGGTTGTTACAGTGACTGCAGGAGGTGGTGCCACTAGCATTTAGAGGACACTGGACAGGGAAGTTGAAGTCCTGCAATGCACGGGCAGTTTCGTACGATGAAGAACCATTCACCCAAATGCCAGTCGCACCAGCCCTGGGAATCCAGAGCCGACGTGTCCAGCAGTGTCTGCGTGTTCCCCTGTGGGGATGGCAGCCACTTGCCTCCTGGGGCAGCAGGCCTAGTGGGAACAGCCTGGATGGTTAGACAGTCCTTCCTCTGCTTGAGCTGAAAGTGGTTCTTTGGCATGAGTAAGATCCTCTGTCTTGAGGGCCCCACTCATATTTGAAAATAGATTCCGGGGATGGCCTGCATGTCCTTGGAGCTGAACTGACCCCCGCTCCCTGTGTATTCCAGCCTGCAGATCTGCCTTGGGGACGTCATGATGAGCAGAGTGGTGGACGAGGTAGAGTCGGTGCTTGCGACCCCTCCCCGTGGACGGCTCCAGCAGGCTGCTGCAGCCCAGCTGGTCCTGTGAAACGGCCCCTTTTGTGCTGAGCCACATGTGCCCATCTTCAAGGGCAAGAGCTGGGCAAGGCACAGATGGGTCCAGGGAACCCATCAGGGCCTGGGTTGGAGGAAGCTTCCCTAAAAGTGCCCACAGACCAAGGACCTCCACCAGGGGACGGCCACACTACAGGGGAGGGCAGGCTGGGCCTGGGGAGGAGGGACGTTTCCATCCCAGTGTAACACTCCGGGCTCGCTATACCCACATCTCCCAGCTCTTCAAGCCAAGTCCACCCAGTCTGAGCTGGTGCACGTTTCCCCTGACCCTATTAGGGCCCCACAGGGTCCCACAACTGAGCTGCCTGCAGGGGGCCGGTAGCACCCCACTGGCCTTTCCCTGAGCTTCCCTTTCCCTCCTCGTCTCTCCGCAGTGGTTTGTCTTGAATGACACAACCAGTGGGCGGCTGCACCTGCGGCTGGAGTGGCTTTCACTGATGGCTGACCCCGAAGCTCTGACTGAGGTGAGTGCATGGTGGCGGGGCTCCCTAGCAGAAAGGGGGTCCAGCAGTGGGGCTGGTCATGTGCAGGCTGTGTGTGTGG